TAGTTGATAAATGGAGTGAGAAATTAATTATTCATCTAATTTTTATTTTTGATTAACAAAGTAAAAATCCTAACGTTGGAAATTTTTAGAAGTAAGTATAGAATGTCTTTATGACTTTAAGGTAAGAAAGGATTCTAGACAAGAGAGGAAAAGCAGAAACCAGAAGTGAAAGGATTTATAAATACAGATAATTAACATCTGTAGCAATCAGTGAAGTGCAGATTAAAACAGTGAGCTACTATTTCACATATCAGATTGGCACAGATTTAAAAATTGGTCAATTCGAAATATTGGTGAGGATGTAGAGGCAGAGGAATGCTAATGTACTACTCCACTGGCAACTGTAACTTGGTGTGAGTGTTTGAAAACCATTTGAAAAATAGTTTTGCAATACCTGGTAAACTTGAAGATCAATATACCCTCACTGCAGAAATTCCACTTAGAGGTGCCTACCTTAGAGAAACTCTTAATGCATGTAAGGAGGGAGAACCATATAAAAACGTTCATTGTAGCATTTCTGTGATCATGAAAAATTGGAGACATCGAGAGAATGAGAAGACAAGCACAGGCAGGGAGAAAATATTTGCAAAAGACATAATCTCATAAAGGACTGTTACCCAAAATATATGAAGAATTCTTAAAACTCAACGATAAGGAAGTGAACGACTTGATTGAAAAGTGGACAAGAGACCTGAACAGACACCTTACCAAAGAAGATACATGAATAGCAGATAAGCATATGAAAAGATGTTCAACATCATATGTCATTAGGGAATTCTAAATTAAAACAACAACGAGGGACTTCACCGGTGGCACAGTGATTAAGAATCCGCCTGCCAATGCAGGGGACACGGGTTCAATCCCTGGTCCGGGAAGATCCCACATGTCTTGGGGCAACTAAGCCCACGCGCCACAATTACCGAGCCTGTGCTCTAGAGCCTGCGTGCCACAACTGCTGAAACCCACGTGCTCTAGGGCCTGTGTGCTGCAGCTGCTGAGCCATGTGCTGCAACTACTGAAGCTCGTGCACCTAGAGCCCATGCTCTGCAACAAGAGAAGCCTGCGCACCGCAACGAAGAGTAGCCCCCATTCGCCGCAACTAGAGAAAGTCTGCACACAGCAATGAAGACCCAGCGCAGCCGCAAAAAAAACCCAAAAAACAATGAGGTACCACTACACACCTATTAGAATGGCCAAAATCCAAAACCCTGACACCCCCAAGTGCTAGCGAAGATGTGGAGCCACGGGAACTCTCATTCATTGCTGCTGGGAATGCAAAATGGTGCAGCCACTTTGGAAGACAATTTGGCAACTTCTTAGAAAATGAAAAATATTCTTTTTTTAACATCTTTATTGGAGTATAATTGCCTTACAGTGTTGTGTTAGTTTCTGCTGTATAACAAAGTGAACCAGTTATATGTATACTGAAAAACATTCTTATCACACATTCTAGTAATCATGCTCCTTGGTTTTCACCCAAAAGAGTTGAAAACACATATCCACATGAAAACCCATACGTGGATGTTTGTAGCAGCTTTATGCATAACTGCCAAATGTGGAAGCAACCAATAATGTCTTTCAGTAGGTGAATGGAGAAACCGTGGTACCTCCAGACAACAGAATATTATTCAGCGCTGAAAAGAAACAAGCTATCAAGCCATGGAGAGACATGGAGGAACCTTAAGTGCATGTTACTAAGTGAAAGAAGCCAACCTGAAAAGACTACATACTGTGTGATTCCAACTCTCTGACACTTTGGAAAAGGCAAAACTATGGAGACTGTAAAAAGATCAGGGGTTGGGGACAGGGAGAGACGAATAGGTGGAGCACAGGGATTATTAGGGCAGTAAAACTAATAGTTGATACTATAATGGCGGATGTGTGTCATTATATGTTTGCCAAAACTCTAAAGAATGTACAATACCTAGAGTCAACTGTAACATAAACTGTGGTCTTTGGGCGAATATGATGGCAGTGTAGATTCATCGTGTAACAGATGCACAACTCTGGTGCTGCTGATAGTGGGGAGGTTGTGCTTATGTAGAGGCAGTGGTTATATGGGAACCCTCTGTGCTCTCTGCTCAGTTTTACTGTGAACCTAAAACTGCTCTAAAAAATAAAGGCCATTTTAAAAAAAACATTGGAGACACTAAATGCTAATTAAGAGGAGAACAGATCAGTATACTGGAGCATAGTCATAGTCTGTTATGTTAAAATGGATGAATTAGGATTGTGTCAGTCACGTGAATGACACTTAAAAATACTGACTGAAAGTAACAGAACATATGTAGTATGTTTATATTAAACAGTACTACATATTTATGGATACAATATATCATAAAAGTACACAAACGTGCATGGGAAAAATAAACATCAAACTCAGGATTGTGATTACCTTGGGGAAGGGGGGATGCCCATAGGAAGGGATAGTGAGGGAGCTTCAGCTATATCTATAATGTGTTTTTGTTAATGTTGAGGCAAATGTTGTAAAATAGAAAGATCGGTAGAGGTGGGTGGCAAGTACATGGCAAGTACATGAGAATCCATATTTTTCGTATCCTTGAAATATTTGATAAATTAAAACCTGAAAACCAAATGGTTAGCTGGAAGATATGAGGGAATTACTCAGAAAACAGCATAGAGAGATAAAGTTCTGGAAATCATTAAAAGTGACATATGGGGGTAAGAGAGCTGGGGAGAGACAGTAAGCAAAAGGATAATGGCTGGGGATTTTCCAGAATGGATGAGGGATGAAGCTTCAGACTTAGGAAAAGAAAATGAATCCTTAAACCAGATAAATTAAGAAGAAATAGAATAGGGGCTTACCTGGCAGTCCAGTGGTTAAGACTCCTTGTTTCTACCGCAGGGGGTGTGGGTTTCATCCTTGGTTGCAGAACTAAGATCCCACGTACTGCATGGTGTGGCCAAAAAAAAAAGAATATATATATAAATCAGTTGTATTTCTATACACTTGAAATGGACAATCTGAAAGTGAAATTAAAAAAAAATTCCATTTACAGTAGTATCAAAAAGAATAAAATATTTAGGAATAAATTTAACAAAAAAAGTGTGAAACATATTCTAAAAGCTAAAGAACATTATTAAAAGAAATTAAAGAGGATCTTTATAAATGGAAAGGCATCTGTGTTCATAGATCAAAGACTTAATATTGTTATAAGATGGCAGTACTCCCCAAATTGATCTACAGAGCCAGTGCAATCCCTATCAGAATCCCAACTGACTTCTTTGTAGAAATGGACAGGCTGATTTTTAAATTCACATGAAATTACAGGGGACCCAGAATAGCCAAAACGATCCTAAAAAAGAAGAACAAAATAGGAGGAATCACACTTCCCAGTTTCAAAATTTACTAAGCAACCAGTGGAAATCAAGATGGTATGGTACTGGTGTAAGGATAGACATACAAAGAAATGAGACAGAATTGACAATAATCCCATACATCTATGGTCATCTGATTTTTGACAAGGGTGTCAAGACCATTCAATGGGGGAAAGAATAGTCTGCAACAAGTGGTCTTGGACAACTGGATAGCCACATGCAAAAGAACAAAGTTGTACCCTTACCTCACACCATATACAAAAATTAACTTAAAACGTTTGCAGCAACATGGATGGACGCATTATGCTAAGTGAAAGAAGTCAGACAAAATTAAATACTGTATGATCTCACTTATATATGTGGGATCTAAAAAATACAACAAACTAGTGAATATAACAAAAAAGGAGACTCAGATATAGAGAACAAACTAGTGGTTACCAGTGGCGGGGGCGGGCAGCATATAAACCTGGGGGAGTGGGAGGTACAAAATATTGGGTATAAGGTAGACTCGGAGATGTACTGTACAACATGAGGAATATAGCCAGTATTTTGCAGTAACTTTAAATGGAGTGTAACCTTTAAAAATTGCATTTAAAAACTTAAAATGGATCAAAGACCTAAATGTAAGAGCTAAAACTAGAAAACACTTAGAAGAAAACATCAGGATTAAAAATTTAAAAAAACCCAAAAAACGTCAAGATAAATCTTCATGACCTCAGATTTGGCAATGAATTCTTAGATATGACAGCAAAAACATGAGCAAACAAAAGGAAGAAATAGATATCTTGGACTTGATCAGAATAAAAAACTTGGGCTTCCCTGGTGGCGCAGTGGTTGGGAGTCTGCCTGCTGATGCAGGGCACACAGGTTCGTGCCCCGGTCCGGGAAGATCCCACATGCCGCGGAGCGGCTGGGCCCGTGAGCCATGGCCGCTGAGCCTGCACGTCCGCAGCCTGTGCTCTGCAATGGGAGAGGCCACAACAGTGAGGGGCCCGCGTACCGCAAAATAAATAAATAAATAAATTAATTAAATAATTTGTGCTTCGAAGAACACCATCAAAAAGAGGCGAAAACAATATTTGCAAATCATTTTTTTTTTTTTTTTTTTTTGCGGTATGCGGGCCTCTCACTGTTGTGGCCTTTCCCCTTTGTGAGCCAAGGCTCACTGTTGTGGCCTCTCCCATTGCGGAGCACAGGCTCCGGACGCGCAGGCTCAGCGGCCATGGCTCACGGGCCCAGCCGCTCCACAGCATGTGGGATCTTCCCGGACAGGGACACGAACCCGCGTCCCCTGCATCGGCAGGCGGACTCTCAACCACTGCGCCACCGGGGAAGCCCTGCAAATCATATATTTAATAAAGGATTTGTATCTAGAATATACAAAGATTTCTAACAACTCAATAAGTAGATAACCCAATTTAAAAATGGGCAAACGATCTGAGTAAACATTTCTCCAATATGTTATACAAATGGTCAATAAGCTCATGAAAAGATGCTTGAGATCATTAGTCATCAAGGAAATGCAAATCAAAACCACAATGAGGTACCGCTTCACACCCACTAGGGTGGCTAGAATCGAAAAGATAACAAATGTTGGCGGGGATGTAGAGAAACTAGAACCTTCATACACTGCTGGTGGGGATGTAAAATGGTGCAGTCACTTTGGAAAACAGTCTGGCAGTTCCTGAAACAATTAAACATAGAGTTACCATATGACCCAGCAATTCCACTCACAAGAGAAATGAAAACATATGTTCATAATAGGTGGAAACAACGAAGATATCCATCAACTGATACATAGATAAACAAAATGTGGTACATCCATACGATGCAATATTATTTGACCATGAAAAGGAATGAAATATGGATCCATGCTGCAACATGGATGGACCTTGAAAACATCATGCTAAGTGGTAGAAGCCAGTCAAAAGACTATATATTATATGCTTACATTTATATGAAATGTCCAAAATAGGCAAATCTATAGAGACAAAAGTAGATGAATGGTTGCTTAGGGCTTGAGGGGATGGGGAAATAAGGGAGCATTAGTTAAAGATACCAGGTTTCTTTTTTTAAGGTGATGAAAGTGTTTTAAAATTGACTGTGGTGGTGATTGCCCATATCTATGAATATGCTGGCAGCCATTAGATTTTAACTTTAGATTGGTGAATTGTATGGTATGTGAATTATATCAATAAAGCTATTTAAAAAAGGAATCCATACCTAAATATAGCTCATAAAAACTATAAAATTCCAAAGACAAATATCAAGTAGAGAAAAGATAGAAATCACTTCAAAGCAAGTAGAGAAAAGATAGAAATCACTTCAAAAGAATGACAGTTGGAGATTTTCTAACCAGCAATGATAGAGGCCTGAAGGCAATGGAATGTTCATAGTTCTAAAGAAGCTGCTATCGCTCTAGCTAAATTGTCTTTCAAGATTGAGGATAAAACCAATGAATTTATAAGTATCTCCTTAAAGTTTAGGGGAAGAAGGTCCTGGGAAGTTTCTAACAAGCAGGGACTGGTAATTGAACATTAAGATAGGACCCATTACCACCGCTTCCTTATGTGCAACATGTCATTGACATTCTTATTTCGTGTGTTGTCTTTATGCATACTAAAATAAAACCCAAAAAGAGAGTGGTATTAGGGTCATTCACATGTGAAGTCTGTCCGAAACCAATTTTTACCCTGGAAGTGCCATCATTCTCTAGCTGTAGAGTTTCCTGAAACCAGCTTTGCTGGCTGAAGAGGTCCTTAGCTTCTCCTTGCTCGGCCTTCAGTATGCTGTTGCATGCACTGGGGGTGATACTGGGATGACGTAAGCCTTTCCTGTCTTTGACTTTTAAGTTGCTTGGAATCTGGCCTGATGTTACTTGTAGGGTGACAAGCTGGTTTCAGAGGTGACCTCCATTCCCGCCCTTAGTGTTTACTGTCCCGAGTCCCAGCCCACGGCTCCCGCTTGCAGTGTGTCTGGATTTCCAAGGTCACGTGTGAGAGGCCTCCGGTAAGATCTCATCTGGTAAATTAAAGCAGCGCGGCTTCAGTCTTTTCCCTTACTCCCCTCCCAGCCATGTACAATGCCTGCAGGGACGTGGAGGCCCCCTCGAGTAACGAGAAAGCCCTGGGGCTGCTGTGCGGGAAGGAGGCCGAAGCCTGCAACGCCACCAACTGGATCGAGTACATGTTCAACAAGAACAACGGCCAGGCGCCTTTCACCATCACGCCCATCTTTTCAGGTGGGGATGAAGACCTCCACATTTGGTGTATTGTACTTAGGATTTTTTTAAAGCCCAGGAACCTTAACCTGCAGTAGGAAGTTAAATTCAGATCACTAGGTCCTAGAGTTTCCTCCAGCGAGAGAGGTAACTAGAGCATTTATCCTGTCCCCGGTTGGTTAGGGGCTGGGCATGGGAGTGGAGATAGAAGAATTGCCTTCAGGTGTTGCTACAGAATTGAAGGAATAAGCTGTTTTTTAAAAAAAGTTTTTTCAAAAGCTCTGCCATAGCGTTAGACTAGCTCCTCAGTGGAGATAAAACTTGATTGAAGGTTTACCGTGGAATGTGGTGGACTTGGATCTCGGTGGCAAACCCTATGCCCAGTTATTGAGGTTAACTTAAAATTTTACAGGACTAAGCAGCAAAACATAACTTGATCACCCAGAAACCTCCAGTCCTTTTTATTCTTCCATTTGTGTTACTTTCAGTGTGCTTATCATTGGGTTTAAATATAATTTAATACAAGCCTTGTAGTGTTTGCTTTTTTTTAAATGGAGATTCTCACTCAACACAATCCTTCCCACAGATCTTCCAGCTCATGAGATGGAGCCCATGAACAATGCCACCAAGGGCTGTGATGAGTCCGTGGATGAGGTCACGGGGCCCTGCAGCTGCCAGGACTGCTCCATCGTCTGTGGGCCCAAGCCCCAGCCCCCAGCCCCTCCTGTTCCCTGGAGAATCCTGGGTCTGGACGCCATGTACGTCATCATGTGGAGCACCTACATGGCATTCC